ATGGTTGATTGGCAGCGCTGATACACTCAATTAGGCAGCACATGTAAGAGTCCATCCCTCTTCTTTTCCCATTTTCTCTCCCTGTATCTTCCACCTACAACTCCTACCTACACACACTCTGTGTGTGTGTGTGTGTGTGTGTGTGTGTGTGTTTTGTCCCAGAAAGACCATCCTGCCAATATCAGTGATGTAAAGATAAGGTCCAGAATTGTTGGTCCAACCTTCAATGCCCTCAGGATGGAAGTGTCTTTCATGATAAACACAAGTCCTTTATGGATAAGCGCTGCCTATCTTTGTAGCTTTTTCTCTAGCCACTCTCTTTCATCCAGTCTGGATTTCCACTACAGTGCTCCCTAAACACGCCACACTCCCCTACTGTTCTTTCTCTTGGGGAGCCTGGCCCTACCCCTTAGACCTGGAATAACAGAGACTGGCTAGCTGTCCACTGAAAGCCTTTCCTCTCCTCCTGGGTGCTCAGCCTCCCTGGCAGCAAGCTGTGGCCATGGGGCCGAGTTCCGGTCAATGGAATATAGAAATGATTGCGCACCACTCTCAGGTCAGGGCTGTGAAACATTACACACAATCCTTCATGCTCTTTTACTTCTGCTGTGAGTGGAAGATGGCAGAGTCCCAAGGTGGGAGGAGCCGGGCTCACTTATCCCCACGTACAGAAACTTACCATCAAACATAACCTTGGAAAAAACAAACAAACAAACAAACAAACAAACAAAAAACAAACAAACAACATAACCTTGATTTTTGGCTTTAAGTGATTAAGAAATAAACATTCATTTTAGTGAACCATTAAGATTTGGAGATTTATCTGTAGTGGCAGCTAGCCTTATCTCAAATAATATACCTGGTGAACTATTCATCTTTTAAGGCCCACTTCAGATGCCCCCTGTTTTGGAAGCCATTTCTTTCTCTTCCTTCCTTTCTTCCTTCCTTCCTTCCTTCCTTCCTTCCTTCCTTCCTTCCTTCCTTCCTGCCTTCCTTCCTTCTTTTCTTCCTTCCTTCTTTCCTTCCTTCCTTTCTTCCTTCCTTTCTTCCTTCCTTCCTTCCTTCCTTCCTTCCTTCCTTCCTTCCTTCCTTCCTTCCTTCCTTCTTTTCTAAATATATTTTTATTTTATTATATTTTAAATATATCTTTATTGATTTCAGAGGGGAAGGGAAAGGGAGAGATAGAAACATCAATGATGACAAAGAATCATCAATCAACTGCCTCTTGCACACCCCTAGTAGGGATCAAGCCCACAACCTGGGCATGTGCCTTTGACCAGAATTGAGCCTGGGACCCTTCAGTCCGCAGGCTGGCACTCTATCCACTGAGCCAAACCAGCTAGGGCAGGAAGCCATTTCTGACTTCTCAAGGCAGGAGTGATTTTTTTTCTCTGTATGTCCAAAACCTTCAAAGATTCATCGCTCACTGACCCCCTCCACCCCTATCATCCAGTGCTTGACTCCTTTACGCACCTCTCTTCATGTTCAAGCATTAACTCAGTGGTTAATACTGATCTTGGCAATTCTAGAGTCTAGCAGAATACGTGAAAGATGGTAGATGTACAATATTTGAAAATTCACTCTTTCACAAGTATGTGTAATCTCATTGTATGCGCTAGACTGCTGTATTCCCAATTCTGTTCTAGACTCCTGAAGCTTTGCAGGAGTTTAAGGGAAACATATTCCAGGCAAAGGAGAGCCAGGGCAAAGAAATGGGGTGTGCGTGGAGCAGAATGAGTGAGGGTCATAGGGGAGATGCGTCAAGGAGGTGTGTGTCTGTATGTGTGTGTATGGGGAGAAGTACAGGATGAGTAAACCTTTGACAGAATTTGGTTTGCACTAAGAGGGAAGTGGAAAGCTACTTCAGCATTCTGAGTAAGGAAGTGATCTAATGCACAAGTTCACTTTGTCCTCTATGTGGAGAGAAGACTATCTAAGGGTTCTGGGCAAAATGAGGGGGACAAGTTACAAGCCTGTTATAATAATCTAGGCATAAAATGATAGTAACTTGGACCCAAATACTTGGTAGTATTATTTGGGATGTATTTTTAAAGTAGGATTTGCTGATGAATCAGATGTGGGATATAAGTCAAGGATAAATCCATGATTTTTTATTTGAGTAACTGGAAGGATTAAGTTGCAATCAAGGGGATAAGAAGGCTATGAGAGGAGAGGATCAGAAATTTAGTTTTGGACTTACGCTTGATGTGCTTATGGTCATGGCCACGTAGAGATGTTGAGTAGTACCTGGATATGCTATATGTCTGGAATGGAGAAATATGGGCTAGAAATACAAACTTGGAAGTTTTTAGCATATAGGTTTATTTTAAATCACAGGAGATGAATGTACATTAAAAAGAAAAGAAGTTCAAGGACAAACCCAGGGACACTACAGAGTGTAGAATTCAGGGAAGTGAGTGAGAATCAGAAAAAGAACTCTTTCTGAGTTGCCAGTGAGGTTAGAAGGAGAATCAGGAAGAAGCCAAGTGAACATGGCATTCAAGGAGAGATCAGTTGTGTCAAATTCCACAATCCATGGCTAACCTTGTCCAGAATGTTGTTCAATGAATTGATGAGTGAACAGATGTAACCTTTCCTCCATCTATATTTGACGAGACTCAGAGTGCACAGACCATATCTTTGTGTCTCCAAAAGAGTTTGAGAAATGATTGTAGAATTGATCAAGTGAAATTACTTTTCCCTCTGTGTCTGTCCTACCCCAGATCCTACTTTATTTTCCTTAGAACTGTAGAGTGTGGGAAACTGCACTTCCTGGAAGCCTGAATAGCTGGAATTGCCTGTGGTTATTCTTCTGTACAATTCAACAGAGACATACAAAATCTGTTTTTGTTTGTTAGTTTATGTTGTTCATTATATTCCACAAATGAGTGAGGTCATGTATACTTACCTTTCTCTGATTTTAGATGTAATAGTAATAGATTACAGATGATGAAATGGAGGCTTGGAAAGATTGAGGGGACCTCACAGGGATTGTCTGCCCTAGTTTGGGACCCTCAGGAGTAAACTGATCCCCATCAGAACTGTCTTCTGGACAGGATGGGGAAGTCTCAGTGCTGCTTCTAGAAGTTAACTTTTCCTAGGAGGAAGAGAGCGTAGGCTGATGCAAAACCCCAATGTGTAGGTAAGAAAATTTAAGACATTTCTCCAAAGTCACACAGATGTTAGTCAGGGGAGAAGCCAGAATTTGCCCACAGGGTAACATGATTTCAAAAGCTAAGGCATTCCCACATTCCCAAAGAACTCACTTGAGATAAGGCAATGAGAGATTCCTAAGATATGGGACTAGTGAAAGGCAGCCACTAGCTGTTCGCTCACTGGGCAGCTTTCCCTGGCCCTTCTGGTCTGTGTGAGTTGGGAGGCAGCCCGTTTCTGTTATTCAGGAAGCAATTACACTCTCATGGCAAGTTCAAGGCCGGTTGCTTTTCTTCCTTTTCAACTATTTATTTCCCTCCTCTTGTGAGCTCCTATGTCCAGGCAATGAGAAGAGGTAGAATGTGAGTGGAGAGTAAGATGTCACCAGTACAACGAAGGCCCGGTGCATCCATCGCCAATCTCACACTCCTTCTCTCCCCACCTCCTCCATCTGCTTATATACTTTTTGGACTGTGGGATCCCCATGGGAAGGAGACTGTGGCGGAAGCATGTATGGTGCAGTGATTCACAGAATCAAGCAGCAGGCATAGGCTAGCGTTTAAGAGGGATGGACATTGACAACCTGTGTCTATAAACTGTGTAACGGTGGGCAACCTTTCTAACCTCCATTCTCCTTGTCTGTAAAATTGGAATAGTAATCACGTTTATTTGACCCGTTGCTGTGGGGGTGAAACCAGACAGTGCAGTGAAATCCCTGGCCCTTGGCATGTAGAGGAGCTGGCCCTCCAGGGCCCAGCAGGATGCTTTTTTCCTCCCAGGCTCCTGTGGAGAATTCCCCTGCGCTGGGGCCAGAGCTCCAGGGCCATCATTGCCCTCATCCTGTGTCCTCTCCATGGCTACGCAAAGGGATTCTCGTTGTGCAGAAGATTTAAATAAGGCGCCTATTTAAGACCTGTTGACAAATGGCAAGAAATAAAGTAGTTGTGCAAGTGCTTTCTCTTCCTCCACCTCACGGGTGAGAAAACCGCCTTGAGGAAGGTGAAGAGGTTTGTTGGGGTCACAGCTAGTAACAGCAGAACGGAAACTCACCCCAGATCTCTGACCCCTGCGGCTGGGAGCTCTCCCTGCTCCCACCGCTCTCCTTCCTGGGTGTCCACAGCGTCCTGTCTTGTCTCCACTGATTGAAACTCATTCCTCATCCAAAGGGAAGGTGACCAAACGTTCCCCCAAAAATCGGGACTTTTTTTAAAAACGCCTCGGGACCCATTGTTTAAAAATCGGGACGGTCCCGCTAAAAGCGGGACGTCTGGTCACCTTCTCCAAAGGGACCACCCCCCTGGGGAGCCTCTGCGAGCGATCGGTGCAGAGAGCTCGGTCCGCCTGGCTTTGGGCCACTAGGAAAAGCGGAGGGAGGGAGGGAACGGAAGGCGCGGGCTCCCCGGAGTAATGAAAGGTTAAAGGTAGTCTTAGGCGTGGCCCAAGCCCGGAGGAGAACCTCGGTCCCAGCGTTACTGTCATTTGCATTCCAGGGAGGCGACTTCACCCGGCCGTCCCGGCCCGCGGGCGCCGGGGGCAGCGCCTGCAACCGCGGCTCGGCCCCTGGAGCTGGGAGCGCGCGGGGGCGGGGGCGGGGTGCGGGCAGGGAATTACCCGGGCCAGGTGCTCCGGAGCGAGGCCCGGGGGCGGGGCCGGGGCGGGGCCTCCCGCAGGTGCAGCGAGCGGCTCGGGTTTCAGTGAAACCTCCCGGCCCCGGGCGGAGCGCAGAGGCTGCGGGCAGGGACCGGTGAGCGGGCGGCCGGTCCTCCGAGGAGCGGCGAGCGGAGGTCTGAGCTTCGGAGTCGGCGGCGGCGAGTCCCCGTCCGCCCGGCGGCGGGCCGGCTGGGAGGATGCGGAGCCGGAGCGCGGCGTGGCTGCTGGCGGGCGCCGTCCTGCTGGCGGCCTCCGCCTCCTGCAACCACACCGGCCACGGTGAGCGGCGGAGGAGGGCTGGGGCCGCTGGGGAGCCGGGAGCCGGGCGGAGGGTGGACGCGGGGCAGGTGCGCGAGGGGCAGGTCCTGTACCTGCAGCCACCTTCCCCGGCGCCGCAGCCTCCTCCCGGCGGCTCTGATGGGGAGTCCCAGCGCCCGGGGAGCCTCGGAACGGGACAACCCGGAGAGGCTGGAGCGGGCGGGGGAGCAGGGAGGGAACGGGGTGCCCGAGTCCAAAGGGAACCCAGAGGCTCAGCCACCCTTCCCACGGGACGGCTCCTTGGCAAACACGAAGCCACGAAGGAGCGTTTCGCACACCCTGGCGGCCTCCTCCGGGCGGACCCCGGGGACCCCTGGAGCTAGCGAGCTGGCGGCTCGGGGTGGGGTGGGGTGGAGTGCGAGGGAGCCTGGGCCTGGAACCTTCCACTTCTATTTTTATTTATTTATTTATTTATTTATTTATTTATTTATTTATTTATTTATTATTATTATTATTATTTCCAAAACCCCTTCAGCCTTTGGAACTCCCTCTCTGGGATCGGCCCGTGGCGATCAGACCCGGCGGGGCCCGGAGCTACTCTGGCCCGAGGGGGGGCCCGATATGCCGGACGCCGCTGGGTTCCCGGGATGGCCGACCTCAGCTTCCAAGTTCGTTAGGCCAGTTGGGGGGGTCACACAGATTTACGAATGGAGCTCCTTAAACTAAGGTGACCAGACGTACTGCTTTTTAACAATTTGTCTCGAGGCGTTTTTTAAAAAAAAAAACACGCCGCGGGACAAATTGTTAAAGATCGGGACTGTCCCGCCACAAGCGGGACGCCTGGTCACCCTACCTTAAACCTACCTGTATCCGACGGGGTGAATTTAGGGCCCTGGCTTTCCAGGCCCTTCCACGCCTCAGGGAAAGTACACTCACTGCCAGCCCCAGGAGGCAGCCCGAGAGCCTGCTGGGCTGGTGCTCAGGTGCCAAACTGCCCATGGCTGCCGGGCTCTCCAATGTGCTGCCCGGCTGTGCGGCAGGGAGCCTGCTGGGGATGCGATCTCCAGGGCGGAGCCGGCCTCTGTGCGCCTGGGGGTGGGGGTGCTGGGCCTGGGATCGGCCTCTGTGATGCTAATCGACCCCCGGCGGTCTGAGGCTGCGGGGGTAGCCTTCAGTGGGAGGTGTTCACTCCCCCGGGGAATGTGCAGGCCAGACTGTGAAAGGCAGTTTCTCACCTTTATCCTTTTTTACAAAGACTTTGTAAAAGAGCAGATCACTGTGAGTTTGAATTAGATGGAAGAGCGTGATTGTTTTACCTCTGGGGTTACAGAAAAGCCTATTGTGGTGTCTGCTTGAAGATGGCACCAACTGTATATATACATTTTATTGTCAGCATTTATTCATTTTCAGAAAGTAAAGTTGCTGCAAACCTTTTGGAAACAGCGCGGTGCGGGTAATTCAGGGCTTGTATGATTCAGACAGTTGCTATAGGAAGCTTGCTCTGACTACTGGTGTGTTCTTGTTTACAAAGTGCTGGGCTGGCACTGGGGGATTACTGGTGTATAAGGTGAACTTAATGTAACAGCAGCCAAGTCAAGTTACTTGTTAACCAGAACTGTTTAATATTCCAGTTTCGGTGTTTTCTTTTTCAGATGCATACTTTTATTCCATTGTAGAGTAACTTTCCTCCCAACTTGAGACCGATTTGATTTTGATTAAGAAATAGAGCACCACTGATGTTTTTCTGGCCCTCAACCCATACTTTCGCTCATCCCTTTTTATTATTATTGTTATTTAAAAAAAATACATCTCCATTGACTTCAGAGAGGAAGAAAAAGGGAGAAACAGAAACATCAATGATGAGAGAGATTTATTCATTGGCTGCCTCCTGCATGTCCTCCACTGGGGCATGCCCTCCACTGGGGCATGCCCCATGCCCCCCCCCCCCCCTTGACTGGAATCAAACCCAGAACCTTTCAGTCTGCAGCCTGACACTCTATCCACTGAGCCAAACTGGCCAGGGCTGGCTCATCTTCTTTTAGTTGACCCTTATGCTTGCTCCTCAGTTTGCTAAAGGACAGATAACAGCTTTGATTTTCTTCCCAAAGACCTTACCCCCAAAAGACTGTCTCATGGAAGGAAACCTGGCCTAGAGTACAATCTTCTCATTTTACAGATGTGGCCCACTGCAGAGGAAGGGGGTTTAAGGAAAATATTCCATCAGGCTTCCCTTTTCCCCCATCACAACAGCAATTGATAATTATTTGTGTAAATATGTCTAATCTTTCTCCCCACTGGATTGTGAACTCTTGGAGGCCAGGGGCCCTCTGGTCATCTTCATTGCCATGATCCAGCACAGTCATTATCTGAAGGACCTCAGGAAATAGTAAATGAGGAATGAAGTGAGGGGACTTGCCCAGAATGACCTGGAGGGTTGATGGCAGTTGGGCATGTGTATTGGTTTCTTTCAGGCACTTACTGTTTTTCTGTATCACAAGCCCGGGAGGTCCCCTATGGTATAGTCATTCTATTTTTCTTTTGGAGACTGAAACGTCTGTTCTCTTTGCTATTGGTTCTTAATGATGCAACTATCGATAATATGTGATCACTGTAAACCAAAAAATGAGACAGATAATAAAAGGGAAAAGTTCAATTAAGTCACCCAAGTAACAGCTGTTCACATTTTGGTATATATATATATATATGTCCTTTCCCATGCTTTCCATGCATCTATGCATAAAATATGTGTTCATACACATAGAAAATCTTTTCACACAAATCTGGGATTATATAAGTATCAGTAGCATGTCAGTGATATAAAACATTTTCAACAACTCTAAAATATGTTATAGGAAAATGTATCGTACTTTTATAATAGGTCCTCTGTTGCTAGACACGTGGGGTATTTCCAAGGTGTTGTAATAAGAGAGAACACTATAATGAACATGAAGATGGGATTTTAAATTTGTGTTGTTTTTCTAGCTTGCCTTGTGGTTACTAATTAACCTTGATAGGGGATGTTTTAGTGAAGTCGGTTTGACCTTCTTATGGTTTTATTAGGTGGGCAGGCGTGGAGAGGAAAACGGTTTATCCTGAAAGAACATAGGAATTTACTAAAATATACCTAGGAAGAGGTCTTCAGCAACTGAAGCTTGTTATTTTTCAGTTTCTGCTCCTAAAGGTTGGGAACAAAAGAAGATTTGGAGGTCAGAGAGAGTAGGGGAAGAGATACAAGAGGAGCTAACAGCAATAAAGAGGTTGTTTTATACTTGGTTTAGTGGGGAGCGAGTAAAGTAAAAAACAAGTGCTTTGAAAGTTAAAAGTTTTATATGCATTTCCTCCCACAATTGTACAAATCAGAAGTGTTAATAAAAGTGAAAATCTCCCATCTCTCCCCTTTCCACAGACTACTTTATGCACAAATATATATTGTCAAAGTTTATATGTCATCCTATAATTTATTTATTTAACACAATACATCTATTCATCGTCAGTGTGTAGAAATCTGTTATACTTTTTTAAAAATCAAGTTTTTAATGAGTAAATCTGAATTCTGTCAGTGATATATACATACCTAGATCATTTCTTTAGGTCAAAGTTGAAGCTAAATTCACTTTTAAATTCAATTTTTCCAAGCAGCTGAGCCAGCTAGCTCTCTGTATCTTGACAGCTTTTCCTCCCAATGAGATGAGTCTGTACTATAATGAAATGGGTTTGGAGTGCAGATTTCTTCTTGAGTGTTCTTGTCTGACAAAGATGAAGAATAAATTTGTAAAAGTGTCCTTTAATAAAAATGTAGAAGTTTATTGGAAGCATATACAAACTCCATTTGGGCAAGGGTGTCCGCTGGAACAAATAGGAAAAAAGCTGTTCTCTCTCTTTCTAATGGGGAAAAAATATCTGTCTTGTGTTCCTTTGTCTCCAGTTTATATATGCTGCAGCTCTTTGTTTGAACCTGACCCTTTCTGATTGGACTTGTCATCAATTTAGGACCCCTGTGCTTTCCTCTGTTATTTTGTTACATAATATCAGTTTCAAAGGCCAAAGCCCACACGGTTCCCCTCTCTCTCCCCTTATTTTTCAACAATAACAACCTTTGCTAATTCCATTATAATATTTATCACATGGTATTTAGTTTTCCATTAGATTGGGGTTCCTTCAGAGCAGAGATTATCATGTTCACTTTGCCTTGTAGTAGATTCCAAATTATTTGTTACATGAATAATGAACATTTCTATTCAAGACCTATGTATTCATAATCACAATATTGAGTATTAATCTCCAAATATTCTATAATTGATTTATTTTTAATTAAAAATACATTTATTGGGATGACATTGGTTAATATGAACATACAGGTTTCAGGTGTGTGTTCCTATGTTACAAGATCTGTATATTGCACCATGTGCAATGAAGTCCAATCTTCTCCTGTCCCTATATTTTAGGATCCCTTTATTCCCCACCTCTTCCCTCCTGCAACCACCACATTATTGTTTGTGTTCACGAGTTTTAATTTTATATCCCACATATAAGTGAAATCATCTTAGCTTTTTCTGGCTGACTTATTTCATTTAGCATAATGTTCTCAAGGTCCATCCATCTTGTTGCAAATGGCGTTATTTTGTCCTTTCTTATGGCTGAGTAGTATTCCATTGTGTGCATGTACCATATCTTCTTTATCTAGTCTTCTATCTCAGGACACTTTGTTTCCTGTCTTAGACACCGTGAATAATGTTGTATTGAACATAGGGGTGCATATATCTTTGCAGATAAATGATTTTGAGATCTTTGTATCTATACCCAGGAGAGGAATTGCTGGGTCGGATAGTACCTCTATTCTCAATTTTTTTTTTGAGGAATTGCCATAGTGGTTGTACCAGTCTACGTGCCTACCAGCAGTGGATGAGTGTTCCCTTTTTTCCTATTGTACAACCTGTCCTTCACCTATTATTTCTTGTCTTGTTGGTAATGGCCACTCTAATAAGTGTGAGGTGGTATCTCATTGTGCTTTTGATTTGCAT